TAGAATTTCTAGAACCTTTAGAACTTTTAAATTTCTAGCATCTGGACGTGCTTCAGCATCTATAGAAACATTAGACCTTGAGAAACTCTAGAATTTTTAAGACTGCTCGGATCTTTAGGAATGTTAACATCTTTGCGATTTGAAAACTCTTTTGAATCTGTAGAAACTCTTCAGAATCTTTAAAATCTTTAGAATATTTGTAAGTGGAACGTTGGAGTACTTTGAGCACTGAAAACCTCTGGAATTTTTAAGATCTTTAGAATCTCTGGGTAATCCAGAATCTATTCAGACTACTCGAGTCCTCAGGTTCCTCTGGGTAATCGGAGTCCACAGAGATATCATAATCCTTGCTATTTAGGGCCTTTAGAATCTTTGAAAACTTTGGACATTCTAGAATCACTAGTTTCTTTAGAATTTTCAGAATCTCCAGGATCTTTAAACCTTCTTAGATTCCTGAGATCTTTGGTACTTTTAGGACCTTTACGTTTTTTCTTAGATGAATTTAGAATCCCAGAATCTTTTTTAGAATATTTAGTATCTTTCCAATTTATGGGATGTTTAGTCTTTAGATTGAAATTTCTAGAATCCTTGGGAATTTTTAATTTCCAGTATCTGGAGGTGCTACAACATCTTTAGAACCATTAGACTTGTGAATCTTTACAATTTTAGACTTTTCGGATCTTTCGGAATTTTAACATCTTTACAATTTTAAAATACTTTGGAATCTGTGGAAAGTTTAGAACTTTTAAAATTCTTAGAATATTTAAAAATGGAACGTTTGAATTCTTTAAAATCATTAGAATCTCTGGAATTGCTGGAATCTCCGCAATCTTTGGAAAATCTAGAGTCTATTGAGAGTAGGTACTCAGAGAGTCCAAAAAATTCTCGGGATCTTTAGTCTTTAGAATCTTTGTAAATTATGGACATTCTATGTAGAATCACTAGAATGTTCAGAATTTCTAGAATCTCCAGGATTTTTAGGCCGAAATAATGAAAATCCTAAAACTGAAATATGTATTAAAAAATTAATAAATCGAAAAATCGATTAATCAAAAAATTGAAAATTTGAAAATTTAGAAGGGCCAAAATTATCGGATAATTGAAAAATAGAGAAATCGACAAATTGCCAAGTTGAAAAATCGAAAAACCGAAAATCAAAAACCTGAAAATCGAAAAATTGATGAATTGAACAAATTAAAAATCGGGAAGTTGTGAAATTGAAAAGTTTAAAAGTCTAAACATAGTTTAACCAAACAATCGGAAAACTGAATATTTAGGACCGAAAAATAGGAAAATCGAAGAATTGAAAAATCGGAAAATTTATTATAAATCTAAAATTTAAAACATGGAAAAACTGAGAAGTCGATAGGTCGAAAAATAGTCCAAACGAAAAATCGAAAAGCTGAAAATTTAAAAAACGGAAAAACAGAAACCTTAGAATCGAAAGGTTGAAGAACTAAAAAACTAGAAAATCGAGAACCGGGAAGTCAAACAACCGCACAAAATTGACAGTTTCGACGCGACTGCCCACCCTGAAGGCGTGTAATTAGCGTAAGATCGGTTAATTAACGATTTTCTAATCAGAAATGTGAAATTTTCTTTAACTACTCGTAAATTAACAGAACAAAAACGTAAAATTATTTAAGAAATTAATGAACTATTCAAGATTAGTCAATAAAAGGTAAACATTGTTTATAAGTAAATAAAAAGACTTTCATTGTATAAAGCAAAAAAAAAACCTCCCTGTGAAGCAAAATTCTCATTTCTACAAAGAAAAATTCTACAAAATTTATGCGCCACATTCTAGAATCACTAGTACCTTTAGAATTTTCAGAATCTCCAGAATCTTTAAACCTTCTTAGATTCCTGAGTTTTTTGGTACTTTGAGGACCTTTACGTTTTTTCTTACATGAATTTAGAATCCCAGAATCTTTTTTAGAATAATTAGTATCTTTCCAATTTATGGGATGTTTAGTCTTTAGATTGGAATTTCTAGAATTCTTAGGAATTTTTAATTTCCAGCATCTGGAGGTGCTACAACATCTTTAGAACCATTAGACCTGGCAAATCTTTACAATTTTAGACTTTTCGGATCTTTCGGAATTTTAACATCTTTACAATTTTAAAATACTTTGGAATCTGTGGAAAGTTTACAACTTTTAAAATTTTTAGAATATTTAAAAATGGAACGTTTAAATTCTTTGAAATCATTAGAATCTCTGGAATTGCTGGAATCTCCGCAATCTTTGGAAACTCTAGAGCCTATTGAGAGTACTCAGATCGTCAGAGTCCAAAAAATTCTCGGGGTCTTTAGTCTTTAGAATGTTTGGAAATTTTGGACATTCTATGTAGAATCACTAGAAAGTTCAGAATTTCTAGAATCTCCAAGATTTTTAAGCCAAAATACTGAAAATCCTAAAACTGAAATATGTATTAAAAAATTAATAAATCGAAAAATGGATTAATCAAAAAATTGAAAATTTGAAAATTTAGAAGCGCCAAAATTATCGGATAATTGAAAAATAGAGAAATCGACAAATTGTCAAGTTGAAAAATCAAAAACCCGAAAATCGGAAAATTGATGAATTGAACAAATTAAAAATCCGGAAGTGGGGAAGTTGTGAAATCGAAAAGTTTAAAAGTCTAAACATAGTTTAACCAAAAAATCGAAAAACTGAAAATTTACAAACGAAAAATAGAAAAATCGAAGAATGAAAAATCGGGAAATTTCTTATAAATCTAATATTTATAAAATGGAAAAATTGATGAATCGAAATGTTAAAAAACTCCATATATCAAAAATCGATAAAATGATTAAAGAAATGGAAAAACTGAGAAATCGATGGGTCGAAAAATCGTCCAAACGAAAAATCGAAAAACTAAATGTTTAAAAAACGGAAAAACAGAAACCTTAGAATCGAAAGGTTAAAGAACTAAAAAACTGGAAAATCGAGAACCGAGAAGTCGAACAACCGCACAAAATTGACAGACAGACGGAAGCAGGAGACTAATTTTTTCGTACTCACGAAACGTCGAGAAAACTGAAAGTGCCAAGTCCTCCGATGGACTCGGTTACTGTACTTCCTCAATTTACACTCACAAAGTAGAAAAAAAAAAATTCGAATATGCACAAAATATAGTTGCTATTAAAAAAAAAACAAAAAAATAGTCCCAGTGAAGCAAGTTATGTTCTTCTGTCGAGTGAGACTGGAAACTAATAATAGAATCTAAAATAGTCTAATGAAAAAAGTAAAAAAACCCTAATCGTGTTTTTTTTGTTATACTATTTGCTATAGGTAAAATTTTATTCCACCCACTCAGAGCGGATAAAACCAATCACCGAAATGGAGGTCGGGTGGGTGGGCGGGGCTAATTATCTTTTTCTGTCGAGTGAGAGTGAAAACTAATAGAATCTAAGACGTGAAAAAAGTAAAAAAAGTGCAAATTGTGACTTTTTCTCGTATATGTCAAAAGTGCCAAAATCAATTTTATCTCATCAAATTTTAGCCCCGCCCACCCACCCTCTGTTTTTTTGGAAGGTATTTGATTTGCCAAAATCTACCTTGTCTTAGTAAGTACTAGCCCCCCACTCCTCTTCTAATTCTAAGGACTAATTTTACTTCTGTTAAATATAAGATCTTTATTTGATTCAGATCGGATGACATCATTCACTGAAAAAGAGGCAGGGTGGGTGGGCGGGGCTAGTTATGTTCTTCTAACGTGTGGGACTGGAAACTAATAATAGAATCTAAAATAGTCTAATGAAAAAAGTAAAAAAAACCCTAATCGTGTTTTTTTTGTTATACTATTTGCTATGAAATTTATTTCTTATTTAATGCATCTGACCTGACATTGACCTACCGTGACCTGACTTCTTCTAGTTGGAAAAATAGTCCAAAATGTCAAAAGTGCCAAAATCAGTTTTATCTTATCAAATACTAGCCCCACCCGCCTACTCCTTCTTCTCATTCTAAAGACTAATTTTATTTCTGTTCAGTATAAGATCAAATAGAAAAGTCGAAGAATGAAAAATCGGGAAATTTATTATAAATCTAAAATTTAAAAAATGCAAAAATTGAAGAATCGAAATGTTGAAAAATCCCATATATCAAAAATTGATAAAACGATTAAAAAAATGGAAAAACTGAGAAATCGATAGGTCGAAAAATCGTCCAAACGAAAAATCGAAAAACTAAAAATTTAAAAAATAGAAAAACAGAAACCTTAGAATCGAAAGGTTGAAGAACTAAAAAACTGGAAAATCTAGAACCGAGAAGTCGAACAACCGCACAAAATTGACAGACAGACGGAAGCAGGAGACTAATTTTCTCGTACTCTGAGGATCATGAAACGTCGAGAAAACATGAAAGTGCCAAGTCCCCCGATGGACTCGGTTACTGTACTTCCTCAATTTACACTCACAAAGTAGAAAAAAAAAAAAATCGAATATGCACAAAATATAGTTGCTATTAAAAAAACAAAAAAAAAACGTCCCTGTGAAGCAAAATTCTCATCTCTACGAAGAAAAATTTATGCGCCACATAAGTGAATTTTTTTACTAGAAAATGGTTCATTTTACGCAAATTTTATTACATATGCATTTATGATAAATTATTTTCCGAATAAACGTTTTTACTTAACGTAGAATATATAAACTGTTTTCGTTTGCATGTAGTTAAATAAATGATGAAGTATTTCCAACGCACTATATTAAATACACTGATTTCTTACAATTCAGACATATTTTTTTATATTACTTGATTTTTAAATTTATTAAATCCCCATAAAATAACATTCTTAATAATTATTACTAGAATTTTATAAACCTAGTTTTTTTTCAAACCCTCCCGTTTTTTCGCACCTCTCCGCACCAAAAATCCGCTTGGCTGTCCCCAACTAATTGACAGGTGCAACCCATTGTCAAGCAAAAATGGCGTTCAAACGTGCGTTTCTCGCCCTCGCCCTCTACACCTCGCTAATCAGCCCTTTCTCTTCCGCAGTTTCCCCCTTGACCAACGGAGTGAGCAAAGAAGGTGACGACCTGAACGCTGCCACCGAATACTACATAAAATGTCCGCAATGTCAGAAAGGCTGTCAGACGTTCCAAGCGCTCAAAGAACACATGGAAGCAACACACTCGGATCTGGCGGCGCCGCCCCCGGAGGTGGGGCCTCTGCCCACGTCGACTCCTGGGGCCGTGTCGCCGACGCCGACGCTGGCGGGCAGCGGGGGACCCTTCGGCTGCTCGCAGTGCACCACGTCGTTCGCCACCAAAGACCAGCTGGAAAAGCACGAGTTGCTGCACTCGCCCAACGCTCAAGTGGTGAGTTGAAAAATTTGCGTAGTAAAGGCTATTTAGATTTTATTGAATTAAGATATAGTTGAGCGACGCGCGGTTTTTTATGATGTTTACGTGTTCGATCCGGCAATTACGTTGAACATAAAACTTCAATTAGGTGTTTTTTTTGTGAGAAGAGAATCTGTTTTGTCTGGCGAAGGCGTCTAAAATACAAAACATCATCAGACGAGGTAATTTCTCACCCATACACAGCACCAAGTAACCTATGACGAACATAATTGCCATTTTATCTCAATTATAAACCCACGTGGATAACAATAATAGTCCCAGTCCGGTGTGCCACGTTCTCTAGGGTTCTAACGACCAAACAATGTGAGTAAGAAGCTCCACGATAACGTTAATTCAATCAAAAAACACTTTGCTCCAAATTAAACTCTCCACGTGTTCGTTACCTATAACAAAGAGATAGAGCACTATTATTGAGTCTCGATTGATGACACCTTCACCCATTTTTAATCACCACTTCTTGTTTTATCTCCACTCTGTTATCAGAAATCGCTGGGAAGCCGCCAGTTCTCAAGGTATCGAGTTCTCGGCGAAGAATACGGATAGGTAGACGTCGTAAATATTTACAAGGTTCTGTAAATACGGTACTAATTGAGAAAGCGGAGAAGTTTTTCAACAGGATGAGTCCTGTCTGCTTTTTTCGCCGGAATGGGAATTTAATAATTTTATTGCCCTACGGCGGGAAAATGTTTTACGGCGTTTTTGTGTCCGGGGTTGTAAAGTTATTATACAAGCCATGGCTGAACTTTCTACCTGACCAATGGGATACGGCGCCCACAAAAAGTCCACGCTGGGAACTGGGGTGTGGGGTGGAATGATGGAGGTTTCAAGGTGAACGTTGTAGGTGATCCGACAGATGTTTTGAAGGTTCGGAGTGATTTGTTTCTGGATAAAGTGTGGCGTGGAGAATCGCTTCAAAGAAGTGGTCGGACTGGTTTGGGTTATTTTGTTGATGCGGAAGAAATGGTCGTGAAATGAACAGTCATGGGTGATTTGCGGGTTAGCGACGTGGATTAGTAATGAAAAATAATAATTGCGAAATGCGCTGTAGCTCGGTCTTGTTGAAAATAATCTATTTCCATTGTATCGTCGTTTGTGAAAAATTTGTGTAAAGAATTTATATAGTAATTCACCACTCAGAATGGTAACTTGATGCTTGTCAGATCATGGCAAAAGTTAAAACTGACGATTAATTAAAATTGATACTTCTAAATTTGGGGGGAGGACCTGAACGTGCTCGCTGCGCTTGCATTTTTAGACGTTGATTTTTTCAGGCTATTTACCTTCACAGGGAAATCTCGAGAAAATTTAAAATACGAGCACACCGAGCACGTTCAATTTTACTTTAAAAAAACTCTTCATTGGTGTCCATAAGAAGCTAAATTATTAACAAAACAATGTATTTATTGTTTACAATGAAGTGAATCTTAAAAAAATTGATACTACTAAATATGGGGGCAACCTGAACGTGCTCGCTGCGCTCGCATTCTAATGGTGGTCTTTTTATAAATATAGGGATTTTTTATTACAATTGAACCCAAATAAGTGCCCTAAAGCTCTTAAATAATTCGATTGTGACACTAACTTCCTAAAAAAGAACGTTTAGAATGCGAGCACGTTTAGGTGTAATTTAAAAATTAATCGTTCGTATCCCGGAGAAGCTAATTTATTAAAAAAAAATTTTTTTCAGGCTAATTTACCTTCTTAGGGAGATATCGAGAATTAGTATAATAAGCTTGCCAATTTAAAGACTTTTATTTAAACATCCCATACATTGCAAAGATTAGAGAGGTTTCAAATTGGAAAGATACTAAATATTCCAAAAAAGATTTTGGGATTCTAAATTCATCTAAGAAAAACCGTAAAGGTCCTTAAAGTACCAAATATCATTTATTTGATTCAGATCGGATAAAATTAATCACTGAAAAAGAGGCAGTGTGGGTGGGCGGGGCTAGTTATTTTTTTCAGTCGGGTGGAACTGGAAACTAATAGAAGAATCTAGAATAGTCTAATGAAAAAAGTAAAAAAACCCTAATCGTGTTTTTTTTTTGTTATACTATTTGTTATAAAATTTATTTCTTATTTCATGCATCTGACCTGACTTGACCTACCGTGACCTGACCTCTTCTAGTTACAAAAATATACGAAAATGTCAAAAGTGTGAAAATCAGTTTTGTCTTATCAAATATTAGCCCCGCCCACCCGCCCTCTGTTTTTTGGAAGGTATTTGATTTGCCAAATTTAGCCTTATGTTAGTAAGTACTAGCCCCCCCCCCTCTTCTAATTCGAAGGACTAATTTTACTTCTGTTCAGTATAAGATCATTTATTTGATTCAGATCGGATAAAATCAATCTCTGAAAAAGAGGCAGGGTGGGTGGGCGGGGCTAGTTATTTTTTTCAGTCGAGTGGGACTGGAAACTAATAATAGAATCTAGAATAGTGTAATGAAAAAAGTAAAAAAAAGCGCTAATCGTATTTTTTTTTTGCTATACTATTTGCTATAAAATTTATTTCTTATTTCATGCATCTGACCTGACATTGACCTACCGTGACCTGAGTTCTTCTATATGGGAAAATAGTTGAAAATGTCAAAAGTGCCAAAATCGGTTTTGTCTTATCAAATATTAGCCCCGCCCACCCACCCTCTGTTTTTTTGGAAGGTATTTGATTTGCCAAAATCAACCTTATCTTAGTAAGTACTAGCCCCCCACTCCTCTTCTAATTCTAAGGGCTAATTTTACTTCTGTTAAATATAAGATCTTTATTTGATTCAGATCGCATGAAATCATTTACTGAAAAAGAGGCAGGGTGGGTGGGCGGTGCTAGTTATGTTCTTCTGTCGAGGGAGACTGGAAACTAATAATAAAATCTAGAATATTCTAATGAAAAAAGTAAAAAAAACGCTAATCGTATTTTTTTTTTTTTGTTATAGTATTTGCTATAAAATTTATTTCTTATTTCATGCATCTGACCTGACTGCCAAAATCAGTTCTATCTTATCAAATACTAGCCCCGCCCACCCACCCTCTATTTTCTTGTAGGATATGCCATTTGCCAAAATCTGTCTTATCTTAGCAAGTATTAGCCCCTCCCAACCACCCCCTCTTCTCATCCTAACGACTAATTTTATTTCTGTTAAGTAGAAAATCATTCCACCCACTCAGAGCGGGTAAAACCAATCACCGAAATGGCGGCCGGGTGGGTGGGCGGGGCTAATTATGTTCTTCTGTCGAGCGAGAGTGGAAACTAATAGAATCTAGGACGTGAAAAAAGTAAAAAAAATGCTAATTGTAACTTTTTTTCTCGAATATGTCGAAAGTGCCAAAATCAGTTTTAATCTCATCAAATATTAGCCCCACCCACCCACCCTCTGTTTTTTTTTTTTGGAAGGTATTTGATTTGCCAAAATCAACCTTATCTTAGCAAGTACCAACCCCCCCCCCCTTCTAATTCGAAGGACTAATTTTACTTCTGTTCAGTATAAGATCATTTATTTGATTCAGATCGGATAAAATCAATCACTGAAAAAGACGCAGGGTGGGTGGGCGGGGCTAGTATTTGATAAGACAAGACTGATTTTGGCGCTTTTAACATTTTCGACCATTTTTCAACTATTTTCAAAAATTAGTTGAATACATTTTCTTCTAGATTTCAATATTCAGAAGTGATTTTCGGCTTACTTTTTTACATCCTAGATTCTCGTAATTATTAGTTTCCATTCCCATTCCCACTCGAGAGAAGAACATAATTAGCCCCGCCCACCCACCCTGTGTCCTTTTCAGTGATTGATTTTATCCAATCTGAGTGAAATGGATCTGTACTGAACAGAAATGAAATTAGTCGTTGGAACGAAAAGATAGGGATGGGTGAGGCTAGTACTTACCAAGATAAGGTTAATTTCGGCAAAACAAATACCTTCCAAAAAATAGAGGGTGGGTGGGCGGGGCTAATATTTGATAAGATAAAACTGATTTTGACACTTTTGACATTTTCGACTGTTTTTCCAACTAGAAGAAGTCAGGTCACGGTAGGTCAATGTCAGGTCAGATGCATGAAATAAGAAATAAAATTTTATAACAAATAGTTTAACAAAAAAAAAACACGATAGGGTTTTTTTTACTTTTTTCATTAGACTATTCTAGATTCCATTATTAGTTTTCACTATCACTCGACACAAGAATATAATTAGCCCCGCCCACCCACCCTTTTTTTTTTAAAGCTTCTCAGGAACACCAACGACTAATTTTTAAATTACACCTGAACGTGCTCGCTGCGCTCGCGTTCTCAACATTCGTTTTTAAAATTTTAGTCTCACAACAGAACTATTTAAAAAAGAGCTTTACGGCAATTACTTGGGTTCGATTGTAATAAAAAATCTCTATATCTATGAAAAAAACACCATTAAAATGCAAGCGCAGCGCGCACGTTCAGGTCCTCCCCCCATATTTAGAAGTATCAATTTTAATTAATCGTCAGTTTTAACTTTCGCCATGATCTGACATGCATCAAGTTACCGTTCCTAGTGTGGTGAATTACTATATAAATTCCCACCCACCCTCTGTTTTTTTTAGAAGGTATTTGATTTGCCAAAATCAACCTTGTCTTACTATTCCTCTTCTAATTCTAAGGACTAATTTTACTTCTGTTAAATATAAGATCTTTATTTGATTCAGATCGTATGAAATCATTTACTGAAAAAGAGGCAGGGTGGGTGGGCGGGGCTAGTTATGTTCTTCTGTCGAGGGAGACTGGAAACTAATAATAAAATCTAGAATATTCTAATGAAAAAAGTAAAAAAAAACCGCTAATCGTATTTTTTGTTTGTTATACTATTTGCTATGAAATTTATTTCTTATTTCATGCATCTAACCTGACTGCCAAAATCAGTCTTATCTTATCAAATACTAGCCCCGCCCACCCACCCTCTATTTTCTTGTAGTATATGCCATTTGCCAAA